AGCCCAGCCTTCCATCCAGGAGAATATCTCCCAACATAGGATGTCAGTGAGAATCAATATTGGAGGCCAATCCTACTAACTCTAAATGCACAGATTAAAAAAAATCCTTTGTCACAGCTAATACAAAGTACCATAGAACCTTCTCTCTGTGGTGAATCCACACCAGGATGTAGCATGTCATACTCTCCTGCTCCTCCATGGCAAGATGCCTGGCCAAACCACAGAGCAGCTTCTAGAGTTGAATCTTTGCTTAACATGCCATTAATTGTGGTCAAATGGCTCTACCTTCCCCAGTGTCTCTGTATCTAAGTATCAAATATCAAGTACTGGATATTCAGTTAGGGCAACACAAACCCCCGACCCAGAGAATTAAGTACGAAGTGTTCACCCCAGGGCCATCAATCCCTGCCAATGCTAGTGGTAGTGTTGTTGTAGTTAGGATTATTCTCCAAGGGCTCTGGTCATAGGGTGCCTCAGTAGAGGAACACCAGAAAGGAGGACTGCTTCCTTCTTTCCATAAAGCAATGCCAGAGCTTTGGGGGAGGTTATCCCAGGAGACAGGAGCCATGTGGCTTGCTGGGAATACACAGATCAAGGTGGCAGGTCACGCACACATCACCACGCCCCACAGCCTCGTGCCATCCACCTCCACATCAGCCCCCTCACATCCGCATCCACACCGAGAGAACACGAGAACACGTGTGTGCGTTTACCCCAGCCCACGGGTACAGGGATCTCAGGCCTTCCAGGTACCCAGTGGCTATCTGCCTGCTACCCTTGCCCCTCCTAGAAACCCATGGACAACTGGAGACTGTGCTCATGGGTCTCCTACCTAGTCGAGCCTGCCAGGAGGGCCAAGTGTTTTTGCATATAATTTGCATGTGTTGACACAGCCCTCCCCATCTCTGCACAGAGCTTTCCCATGCTAACCTGTTATTACCGCCTCTCTGAAGCTGGTGCCGCTTACCCACCCACTGCCAGTGAGTACTATGCATGGAGACAGGCTGGAAGCTGGCAGATCAGGGATTCACATCAACTTCCCAGCCTCAGTTTCTCCTCTGGACAACGGACACCGAGAGCTCTGCATATAAAAACTCCTGACATAAAGCATTCAGAGAAGTACCGCTAACATGCAGAGCTCTTTATGTGTGTCAGGAGGCCAAGAGTTGCATCTAGGTGAAGAAGTGGGTCCCCTAGGCTTCGGTGACTAGTTGTCACAAACACAAACTTTTAGGACTCTTGGTTAAATTTATTTTGCAAGGGGAATCAAAGCACAATTCACTGTTGAACTGAAATTCATATTTTAGCCTGGTGACCTAGATTTTATAAAAACATCGTACCTGGGGCCGAGGCCCAGGGGCTCCAGTTATCACTAATATCCTGTTTTCTCACCGCCCTTCCAAAGCTCAAGGGTACATAGTCTGTTTCCTAAATGTCCTGTTTCCTACTCTGGGATAGGAAGGGGTGGAAGGAGGCTTCATGTGAGGCAAATTGAGAATTGCGGAGGGGGGAGGGGGGAAAATATGTACTTCCTAATCTAGGTACAAAGCCTGACTGTACTCCCCTGTGCTCTCTGTGAGGAGCCTGGCAGTTATCACTGCGAACGTGAGGCCATGCTTCCTGTGGTGAAGAGCACGCGTGTTTTCATCAACAGAGCCCGTTTCTAGGGCCTCCTCACAGGATGTGAGGCCCGTGACAGGTCACAGAGGAAGAGGCGAGCCATGGCAGGGGTTAGAGCTTGTGGGGAGGGGGGCATGGGGGCCGGGCTGTTTCAGTTCAGGGGCTGGAACAGGAGTCCAACCTGTGGCTACCTACAGAGCCCTGCATCAGCCTTCAATGCGCTGGACCTCTTCAGAGCGTTCAGAGTGATACTAGACTTGCTTGGTTACAGTCTTTATCTTAGCAAGGCACCGTGCAGAGTGGGGCAGAGCTCAGCACCTGAGCTCAGGCCCAGCTTGAACTCCACTGGTTACTCAGAACCACTACAGAGGAGCTAGGGGCCTGATATGTGGCTCGGGTGGCAGAGTGCATTTCTAGCATGCACAAGGCCCTGGGCTAGTGATCTACATACAGCACTGCCTGTCACACCTGTCATCCCAGCACTGGAAAGTGGAGGCTGGAAGATCAGAACTTCTAGGTCATTCTCAACTACATAGCAAGTTTTCAGGCCATCTTAGACTGCCTGAGACCCGAGAAAGAGTAGAGAACACGCATCAAGCTTGGGCATGAGCCTTGTGTGGTGACTAGGGAGGGTATCAGCTCTGCACCTAAGGGTTTTGCCAGGCCAGGCTTTGCAGACTGGGGAACAGGGACACTATTGGTAAACATGTGCCTCACCCAAGGTGACAATTTTCTTTCAAGATTTGTAGAGCAGAGAACTTGTACAGTCAGACCAGTGGATATGTTATGGAGTGTAGTACCAGATAAAATCCAAAAAGTAAACATAGGATTCTACATTCTTCCCATAACGTCGTGCTGGGCAGGCTCCCACCCTCCAGGCATGTCGCAAAGATGATGTAACACAAACCACTTTCCCTGCTACCGCCAGGCATGAGGAGACTTTCCTTCTTGGAACTTATATCCCACTGAATCTGAGCCAGTAGCCATCCGCTTCCATGCGGATGGTTAAACCCATGCAACAGTGGCAACCAGGCACTGAGGAGCCACGGGCCTCCCACCAGGGTTGCTAATGGTGTGCTGAGATCAGACCTCCAACAGAGGCCACGCACCTGAAAGCCACTTCCTCTTTGGTCTGGCAAGATGGAACCACATATCTGTGGTTACAAATATGGCCAGTCTAGGAAGGACTAGGGACTTTCATGACCAATGGAGACCCGTCCTCTGCCTCTGGCCCTCGTGGACAGTGTTCCTGGCCTACAGCTTCTATGGGGGCCCTTCTCCTAGGCTGAAAATGCTTCAGAGGAGGATTGTGGGAAAGTGACCAGAGAACTTGGGGGTGTCTAGGGGGATAAAACATACTCAGGCCTGTGAATCTGAGACAGCTCAGGATCCCTGATACAGCCATCTAAATGCCAGGCTAGAACACAGGTAAGGAGATGAGACCAAAGCCAGTGCCCTGCTGGCCCACACCTTCAGTTCTCTCCATTATTCTCAAAGGCATCGGAAATTTAGGGAAGTCAATTCTTCCCCAGGACCAGGAAATAAAACTGGCCATGATCATCAGAATTTCTCTACACTCCAAGTCTCTTCACTCAACAGAGGGCCTCTCACATGCCACTGGGCACAATGGGACTTCTCCCATCCCACTCTGAAGAGTTCATCAGAGGCCGGGCCTTGGATTGGCCAACTAGAAGGTATTTATTCACTGATGAAACCTGTGTACAGATATAAGCCACAACCATGGGTGGTTCAGACTCATTCTTAGATTGTAGGAAAATATCTGAGATCACTGAGGAGAACATAAGGGGGGTCTCTTCATAGGACATAGGACTACGGTGGAGAGATTCCTGTGTTTTCATTGGTCTAGTGATGGTGTTAATACACTGAGGCGGCTCTCTCAGATACTGGATGCCACCTGGCCTTCCATTCCTCCTTCCGCCTTATGCTCAACTCGACCATTGCCTCCATTTCCCCACAAAGCAGGGCTCCATGACAACGGCCTCTCCAGCTCTAACATGGCTCTTTATAAGAACAGACTTACCTCTTGAAACAGAAACAGGCTGGGGGGGGGGTGTTAATAAAACTGACTTTGTCAAAGCGTCCGTCTTCCTAGCAATGGTAGAAATGCCCCAGGGCCCCCCTTTCTTATCCCAAGTCATGACCCAACATCTCCCCCCAGCACACACTAATTTCAGCTTGTACAACCTTTCCTTTTGGAAAAACAAGGCATAACAATTGTAGTTCTCCCTTGGCCAATGGCCAGACAGCTAAGAGCTGGAGCCAAGAGACAACGGATACACCCGGAGAGGCCAAGGGCAGAGGGCAGGACATTCTGGACACGTTTCTGTCAGAGACCAGCCCGAAAGGCCTTGTGGAGAGTCTGTGCCGAAGATCAACACCTCTAGTCTTAATGGCACGCCACGGCCCTTCAGAACCTAGTGTGGAACATGCCTGTGACATTAATTAATGCCAGGCAAACTGCAACAGCCGAGTCTGAAAACTAAAAATAGACCTTTGCCAACTGACTCATCTCTGCACAGAATTCAGAGCCTTTTTCTCAGCTTCTCCTCTACATGTGCCTTATTCTTTACGTCTCTCTGTCTCTCTGTCTCTCTATCTCTGTCCCTCTCTCTCCCTCCATCTTTGTTGTTCTCTTCTTTGTGTTGGGAGGTTTCACTTCCGGAAGTGATGGTCCCACTCAGCTACCCTCTGACCCATAAACATGCTTAATAAGCAAGGAAATCATTGCTTTTCCTGGCTCTCATGGTCCTAAACCGTGTCATTTGTACTTAATATTTTCCATGCGGATGCCCCTGCCTGTTACATCACATATAACTCTATAGCTTCGTTTCCGATTCCAGTCCCATCTATTTTAAACTTTGTTGATTTCGGCAAGGAAGGAAGCCTATTTCATACAGATTAGCTGGACAGCTGGGTCTGATTGCTTCTGATTATCGGGCTTGGGGCCACTAGGGAAAGAGGTTTCCTAAAGCCCCTTGGATGGAGGACCATTCCATATGGCCCCCAAAGTGTGGGTCACTGCTCACTCCAGGGAGGAAGGGCCAGCAGCCTTAGTCGGAAATCAACAGGTCAAGGAGAAGGCAGGCTCACACACTGCTCCACACCTCAGGGCTTGGAGGCTGTGCTTGAAGGTGGAGGAGGGGAGCAGGGAACCAGGAGCCCCTGGGTTCCCAGCTCCTGTGTGCCCCTGAGTGGGGGATTGTGTCAGAAACCACTGCGTGTGTTGGAAGGAAGCATCCATCATGCTTGCCTCACAGACACTCGGAGGCAACAGACCAGGCATAAGCATCAGAGCCCTTCACCTGGCCTTGCACCCCAGACCTCCAGGTGCACAAAGAAATCCCAAAGTCCTCTCTCACCTTTCAGTGGTCAGTCCACAGGCAGGTGGGGGCTGCCGCGCTCTCCTGAAAGCTGGTGGCTCCGATGAGGGAGGAGTACTCTCCCTGCTCGTCCCATCTCTGCCTTCTCTTTGTGCCTCCTCTAGAGAAAACCGAGTGCTGGAGGTTTAAAAAAAGAAGGATGGTGTGTGTGGAGGGTGGTGGGAGTCGGGGGTGCCGAAGCGGTAGGGGGGGTGGCAGAGGGACACTGGGGGGTGCTAAGCAGCCTGCCCTGGTGTGGGTTCGGGGTAATGGCCGACACAGGGGAGACGGCTTGCCTGCCGGAGCTCAGCACCACGGCAGCTTTGTGTGGGCGGCGGCAGCTCACGGCTGGGTTTCAAACCATTACATGAACATTTGCAAACAGATAAAAAAACAAACCCATTGGGCACAAATGGAAACTTCTGCTTCCCTTTTCCCCACACTTTCCCCTTCTCCTCTGCTCCAGAGTTTCCCTAGAGGAAGGTCAGGGTGGTTGCTGGCCCCTCAGAGCTCCCCTGACCCCATCTCCTCCACCATCCTACCCCCCATGACCACCACTGTGTGTAGACAGGAGCCGGTGTGCAAGACGGTCACCAAACCTTGGGATCCATTCACTTAAACAACATTCTCCTCTAGGGTCCCACTCGAAGCCATGTGGCTGAAAAGGGTCTTCAGCTTCCATATTGGAAGGTGTGTCGTCTTTCTTGGTTTCAAAGCTACCTTAGAACACATCCGCAAGAAGTTGGGTGAGAACATTGTCATTGCTGAGTGATTCTTTTTCCGAAGGACATCCCGTGAACAGTGGTAGGGGACACTGCTTGAAAAGGAAACAGATTCCATGTTCAAACCACTTTGAGAAATGTCACATGCCATTGTGCCCACGGCTAATCATAGTTCTTTGCAGGAAACAGCTCTGAAAAGTCCTGCAATAAAGACACTTGTCTTACTTTGCTTAGGTATTTCCAGAATGTGCAAGACCCTAGATGAGAGAGGTCTTAGTGCCAAGAGGCAGGTCAGGGTTCACCAGTTCAGGACTCTCTCTGCTTGCGGCCACAGTCATCAATGAACTTGAGACTCTATCACAAACAAGAGCAAAATATGGACATCTCTGATTTCTCACAGCTATACCTCCCTTCCAGGTGGGTCTCTGCTTCCTTCCTACAGTTCAGAGCCCATGGAAGGCAGAAAGGTGCTCTCTGATCACTCTATGGCCATCTCCCAGCCACACACTGTGCCAAAACTGAGAGAAATGATTTCAGAATTTCAGAGCCTGTCTCCAGGGAGGCAGAAGATCAGAACCTTGAAGCATAGATCCTAGAGAGGTGACTCTAGGTGACAGATGGATCTGTTCTGCAGTAACAATGACAGGAGAAAGTAGATGGGGACATTGGTGCAGCAGGACAAGAGAGGAAAGAACAGGTTCCCGTGAGCCTGAGGATGCCTGAAGGTCATCAGTACATGTAAGGGGTCCTTGTTAGTTACTTCCTATTGCTGTGATACACACCATGATCAAAAGCAACCAGAGGAGCAAGGTTTATTTCATTTTACAGATTATAGTTCACCATCAAGGGAAGTCAAAACAGGAACCTGGAGGCAGGAGCTGATACGGAGGCCATGGAGGAGTGCTGCTTACTGGCTTGCTCCCCATGGCTTGCTCAGCCTGCTTTCTTATAGAATCCAGGACTACCTGCCTAGGAGTTGTCCCACCCACAGTGGTCTGGGACCTCCCACATCACACATCAATTATCAATCAAGAAAATGTCCCACAGTGTGGCCTACAGAAGAATCTGATGGAGGCAATTCCTCAGTTGAAGTTCCTTCTTCCCTGGTGACTCTAGTTTGTGTTGAGTTGACAAAACCTAATCATGTAAGGTAAGAGGTGGCTGCCCAACCCTCAGGGCCACTCCCTTCTCATGGGTGCCTCTCTTTTGCACAGAATGGTTTGAGTCAACTGTTGACAATTGCAGGTAATTTTGTTCCTCAGGGGACACAAATATCTGAAATCTTTGATTCTTCCGGCTAGGGGCCAAGAGTATAAACTAGGGCTGCTGCTGAATGTCTCCCAGGCAGATGATAGCCCCACAAAGAGGATCCAGTCCCCAATATCACTAGTGCTGAGTGGGACCCCTTGTGGGGTACAGGTGAGGAACGTGTGAACATTCTGTGCATCTCAGAAGAAAATCATACCTTAGGTAAGAAAGGAACTTCCAGGTCATCCTGAGAGCTTTCATTCACTTGGGGGAGAGGATGGAAGTGGGTGGGAAATAAAATCTCCCTGTTTCAGACCCAAAAGAGAGAGAGCCAGCCTTCCTTATAAACAGTCCAAATTGCATGATTAAAAAAAAGAAAGAAAGAAATACAAGGAAAGAAAAAACTGCCTCATCTTTTAGAAGTCCCTCCAACAACTTGAACTCTGTGAGCAGAGTGAACTAGTATAGAAAAGCTCAGCAAGTCTTTGGAAAGCCTGTGAGCACTTCAGCAGATAATCACTCATAATTAGAGCATTTTCCAGACTCCATTAAAAAGGCTTTAAACAAAGCTGAAAATTATTTGACGACCTTCACTCTGAAGGAGGTGAATGGTCATGTTGACAACACTAATGTGCCAGGCCTGGTTGAGGATTGTTTTTTTTTTAAGTCAAGCGCTAGCAGGAGCTGCAGTAGTGCCTGGCACGTGGCAATTATTAACAGCCAATCAAAGGAGGCGACAGCACAGACTGATGTTCTGGAGAGTGCGCAGCCTCAGAGGAGACCGCGTCACACTCTTCTCTCTTCCACAGAACCTCCAACTCAGGGTCCAGGCCCAGGAAAGAGTTTTCTTTCTGAGTAGTGAAAAAAGCAAGTGGGACATGCTCTATAGAGTTAGGAAAGCCTAGGCCAGTGAGATACAGAGAAGCCCACGTGGACACAGGGAAAGAGACTGTGTGAGGGACCCTCAAAAAGAGACTCTGGAGGAAGAGTCAGCAGCCAAGTTCGAAGGTGACTCAGAACAGAGCTAGACAGCCTTCAGGTGTCCTGGCGACCCTGCGCCAGGCTGTGAGCTCCAATGCTATGCAGCTTCCTCTAGCACACACGAAAGGGTGGTTGGTTGGTGGTTAAGCAGTTGGTCTCCTGGGCTTGTGCTTTGCTAGGCCCCAGGAACACAATTCAAAAGAGGCACAATTGGTTGGAATGAAGAAAATCAAAGAGGAATCCAAAAGGGACCCAAGGCAACCAAAAGTGACCCAAGTCAATCACTTGTTGGCTGACGATTGTAACCTTCACTCTGTACTGCATGCTACCTAAGGAGGGAAACACCGGCTGCTAAACTACTGTGGAAACAATGAAAGCTCAGGGGTGTTTACATAGTAAAGTGCCTGTCCAGCAAGTATGAACACCTGAGTTGGATCCCCTCATAAAAACAGCGAGCTGTGTGTGGTGGTAACCCCAGCCTTGGTGAGGAGACAGAAGGATCCAATAGATCCCTGGCTCACTAGGCACCCCGTCTAGCTTAATCCATGAGTTACAGGCCAATGAGAAACCTTGACCCAAAGAAATGGACAGTGGCCAAAGAACAACATCAGAAGTTGACCTATGACCTTCCCACACATGGCAACATGTGCACTCATATACAGAAACATGAACAAACACATACATGAGTTTTTAAAACCCCACCATTACAACAGAACAGTCTTGTTAAAGTTCAGCTTCGGGAGTCCCACTCTCTCACTCTGCCCCTGGAGCCTTTCTGTCTGTGTTGAAGGGCATGGGAAAGGCCAGGTCTTGACCTCCTCTCGCTGCTCTTGGTCAAAACCATTGAACAGGGTAACTTTTTCATCATGCGATGTTCTACTCCTTAATGCCAGATCCTGTGACCTCAGATTATCCTACCCTCTCCCTTGGTGGGTCTGAAGCTAAGGAGTCACTTTCTCAGTGTAGAGGGGCTGTGGGGAAGGACAAAGACACAGCGAGCTCTCAGGGACTTCAGAGACTGCTCAGGACCTGGGACAGCACCAGGACTTCTGCCAGGATCCAGCAAGCACCAGCTTCCCACCCTAGGAGTCTGCTGCTCTTTCCATGGGAGGGGACTGCTTTCGGCATGCCCTGGACCCTCATAGCCCTGGTTATTAATGGCTTCCACCATATCCCACTACCCGCTATTACCTCTACTTTCATATGATGCTGGGTTGTGCTAAGAGAGGCTCTGGAGGGCTCACTTGGCCCATATGGAGGTCCTTGGCTGAGCAGAGCTCTCCCTCGGCATTCCATCACTGGAAGCCATCCTCATTTGCCTACACAGGACCATCAGCTATACCAAGTAAGCACAAGACACAGACAGAGCCATGCAAAGAGAGCTTCCTCAGAGAAACCAGCTCCCACGGGCTTTCGAACAAGGGTGCTGGGAGTTGGGATTTTGGCTAACCGATCAATTCCTGAGGTTGTTACACATGGCTCAAAGATGAAATCTCAGAATTATAATAGTTATATGTATACACAATGTAACTTTGACGATATATAATCTGACATATAAAACTGGTATATGTCCCTAAAGTATTAACCATGAGTTTTTTTGGTTTTTGGTTTTTGTTTTGTTGTTGTTGGTGGTGGTGGTTTTTTGTTTGTTTGTTTGTTTGTTTTTTGTTTTATGTGTGTGTAATGTTACACTAAAGCTTACATGGACAGTCAAAAGATCCAAAAATGGATAAAAATGGTGTTAAAAAATTGGAAGGATCTCCTTGCCATCTAATTTTAATACTTGCTTTACTGCAACAGCAACCACGTCAGTGTGGTACTGACAGACACCCATCTCAATAGCACAGAATAGAGGATACAGAAACGAGTCCAGACACTGTGCCAGACTGTCTCAAAGAGGCAAGAATTTAATTCAGGAAGTGTAATCTTCTCAACAAACAATGTTGAAACAATTTTACTTGGTCAGGGAAGGACGGAGGGAGAGAGGGAAAGAGGGAGAGAAGGAGAGAGAGAGAGAGAGAGAGAGAGAGAGAGAGAGAGAGAGAGAGAGAGAGAGATTCTTTGTACAAAACACAGCTCAACATAAACACAGAGTTAAGAATTAAGAAGAAAACTTTGAGATTTAGGTTTAAAGACAAACAGCCTTAGCTATTACACCAAAAATATAATCAATGGAAAAGAATCATTAAATTAGACTCCATCAATATTCCAAACATCTGTTTTGCAAGGAATCTGGCTTAGTTAGGGTTTCTAATACTTCAATGAAACGCCATGACAGCTGGATCTCA